CTCGTGACACTGACTTTTTTATCTCAACCCATACCTTACATAAAGATTAATTAATTGAAAGGTGTTATTTGGTCAATCGGAGCGCGAAATCTAATGAAGTAAAAAGTAATGTTGTTTATTTGTTTAATTTATATATTTGTTTTAATAGATTAGAGAACTCATAGGTTATAGTTTCAATTATTTATTTATTACAAATTTAAAGTAAGGATTTTTAATGACAAATCACAAACGTGGCCGATATACCTGATAATAACCAATACTAGTCCTCTGTGTTTAAGTTCTGATTTTGTCTGTGATAATAGTTTGTAAACAGTGCCATTTATTTATTAAAAAGCTTTGCATTTAGTATAAGAAACGACATAAAGAGAGAAAAATGTTTATACATGTTAATAAGAGAAAACAATTTAAAATCCTGACAGAGAATCTGTAAGTTGTAAAAACAAGGAGATTTTTGATTTTCACTGACACAGATGAGCGATTATAAAATATTATATGTATATTACAATTAATTAAGGTTTTTTANAATCCCCCTCGTGCCATTGACTTTTTTATCTCAACTAAAAAACCTTAATTAATTGTAATATATTAATTGGTTAAGCGGACCACGAAATTAGTGAATTTAATTATATGTATATATTATAAATATTATTATATGTAATTTATATATATGTAATGTAATAATAATATTACAATATTATAAAATATAATATGTATGTATAGCCCTGAGGAAGGTGAAATAAAACACCGAAGTTTAGTGTATTTTCAACACCAGAACATTCATTGGTCCACATCCCCGATCCTAGCAAATATATTGCGACAGCTTGTATAATATGCTTTTGTGTATTATTTAAAAATAAGTTTCTTTACTTTTTCGTAACTATTTCTTACCGGTTGAATTGATTTACAATGACTTCGTTAATAGGTACGTCTATTCGCGGTATTTTACGTTTCACTGAAACGAGGTTCGACTTCACTCAGTGAACTCCCTGAAAAGTAAGGCGCTGAGTATAGGCTAAACCGATCAAACCAACAAGTCATGATGGTTTAGTAGGGTTAACGCCTCATTTTCTGTACATTTTTAAATGTGCAGCAATTTTTTATAATAAATTACCAGAGAAATATTTACCATGCAGTCCTCAGAACAGTGCATTTTTTTTTAAATTAAAACAAAAAATACAAATTTTTATCTAATCTAAGGTACAATTCGTTTTGTGGTTATTCTGGGGAAATTGACAGAATTGATCAAACCGGAAGGCTCATTTATTGTAAACAACAGTTATTTATATCACTCTAGAAGTACAAACTGGCTTATCTAAAATTCATACATTTCAGGGAAATACATAATAAATAGTCTCGGAATTGTAACGATTAATTAAAACAATAGCGAAAAACAATCATAATTATGCAATAAATTATCACTATAATTAACGGGGACTTCCGTAAACGCGAAAAAAAATTGGAAAAATACGTGTTCAAAATAAACTAAATAACTACATAGTAATTATTGTAAAATTTATCTTTTAATTTTTTCAGGAAAATTAATGATTGGATTAACTGGGATAATTCATTTATTGAAAAAAAATCAAATATAGGTGGTTTAAAAAACGTTAGAACCTTGGGGCATGTCTTATGATTCTCGTCCTATTTTTATTTTCAGACTATTACTGAATGACTGAAAGTAGCCCAGGTATCACATATATTTTATGAGAACTTATCTGGACAATTAGAAAATCTGACATGCTGGATATTACTTAGTCTCCCCCACCCACCATAATAAATTATTTATTTATATCGCTAACCACAGCCTCAAGAAAAAATACACTTAACTGAAATTAAATGAGAAGCCATGGTGTGGCTAGAAATACATTTACATTAAATAAAAATATTCTGAAAAAAGTGTTTCTATTCTACTTAGTCGGGTTCGAGTTGCATATTTAACCAATGGACGAACGATCCCTCGAGTTAAAATCGGCCGATAGTTCGCCATGTCAGTTTTGTGTTTCCAATTAAGGACGGGTAACTGGAAACTCAAAGCCGGCAGCTCTTTGACGATCGTGGACATAACGAAACTTAGTTGTTGCCTTCAACTTCGAGGATGCGGGAACTGCAGGATGTTCACCTGCATCAATGCGGATGAAATTCCGCCGTTCTCGACATAGATAACGACATTTTAAGTTGAACATAAAATCAATACAACCATTTAACAACCAATTAGCATCATTGCAGAAAAAGTCGATTATTAATTAAACTTTTTTTGACTTCATTTATTTGTATCTACAACTGTACATGTATTATATACAACCAGCAGATTGTATAATTTATGTTTGTGGCATTACGGGCGTATTAGAGAAAGCCGCTCTGGATTAATAAAATGGTATTAATCATTTAAGCGGTCTTTTATCCATATCCTTTTCAGGCGTTCACGTGGTAATTGTGGGCAATGGAGTAATCGTATTTGTGTGCGAGTGTGATTTTGTAATTTACTATGAAAACTCTGTAATAAGTTTTGATGGACGAAACAAACTATTGGTTGGAACATCTCTGTGAAGTGTGTTAATGTTTACGTAAAAAGGGGCAGCAACAATTAGTCTTAAAATTTTGGATTGAAAACTTTGAATATTGGAATATTTGACCGATTCACAAACTTGGCACCTGTGCATCTAAACATGTTGGAGTATGTATCCTCGGTCAGTAAAGATAGTAAAGCATTTTAAATCGTTTGTTGAGCGTCTGTTTTTAATCGTGTGTGTGAATTCTAAGGTGGTCTTCTATCAAATGTATGTCCTAAATAGTTAACTTTGTCAGATTGTTCATTGTAAAAATATGCTAGTACGACGAAGAGTAAAGAGGGGAACACGCTACCCGATGCTACCCGACGCAAATCGAAAGTCCAATTTTCCGGAAGATTGTACTACCCCCGTGCACATCTGCCCGATGCCACGCAACGCTACCCTACTCTACGCTCTGCGATCCCCACTGTCCAGATTTTTGTCGAGTAGCATCAGTCATACAGTCGAAGACAAAAGAACGGGACACTCATATTTTTATTTCAAACTATAACTGTTATTATCGCTATATTCATTACAACATACTTATTTTTACATAAACCAAATTAAGAGAGATCAAAATTTTATTAGTTTTTATTTAAAAAAAATTAATTTTAATGATATGGCAGAAAATTGATCAAAACACCGGAATACCATTTATTTACAGAGTGAATTTAACTAACAATTTATTACATAATTTTGTTCATAAAATTTACCTGAAATTTATTACACGGTTTTTCTCATAAAATTTAACTAACATTTATTACATGGTTTTGCTCATAAAATTACACCATTTTTGTCCAGTAGTGTCAGAACCGGACACGCATGTTTTTCGTTGTTTATTTCGATCATTACACGTACATTCGTATGATGTTATTTTGTCGTTATATTACTACAACATTCTTATTTTGATGTGAACCAAAATTCAATCAAAGAGATCAAAAATTCGTGAGTTTTTATAAGAATTATTTAATTATGATGGTTAAGCAGAAAATTTATAGAAACACCGGAATAACTTTATTTAAAATAATTAAATTTAACTTATGATTTTTCCTTCTTGAAGGTGGGATAATAGGTCATCTCAAAGAAACCACCACCTGTTTTTATTCACAAAGTTTCGGATTTATTTTAATCCTTCCTCAGCTGAGTTAACTCACCTCATTAAATCCGAAGTTGTGGACAACCATGTCACTGGTTGTGGTTTTTTTGATCCCATCTCTAAGAAGGAAAAATCTTAGTTTACTGTTGAGGTCGAAATATAATTAAATTTAACTAACAGTGTATTACATGGTTGTGCTCAAAAATTTTAACAATTTATTACAAGGTTTTGCTCAAACTAGTCCATCAAGAACAAAAGAGGCGTTGCGATTGTGATACTGATTTGTGATACACGCTGTGTGGCTGTACGTGGCGTGCGTTTGACGTCGCATAGATGTGCCCACCCTACCAAAACGAGACAGGCGTCGGGTAGCGTCGCATAGCGTTGCATCGGGTAAATACGTTCCCCGCTTAAAGGTGATATGTTGCGTCTCTGAGGTGTTAAAACGTTTTCCAAAGATTGCTCCTTTTTTCAATTGTTGTAACATAAGGAAAGGTTGTGTAGAAGAGGGATGACTGCGTGTCATCTGTATTGTGGCGGTAAGTATATTCTCATTTGTGGGCCTATCAGATTGCGTACAACAGCGGAGCGAGTATTGACCCTTGTGGCACACCTGCACGCACTTCTTCCATCCCAGAAATCTCCGTACCCTGGTTTACTGCAAAAAATCTCTCCTTAAGGTATTATTGCATAATTAGATAATAGGCCTTGGCAAAAATAATTTTAATTGGCATAATAATCCCTCATGCCAAACTTTGTCGAAGGCCTTCGAAACATCTATTGATAACATTGATAACATGAAGTTGATGAGTGGTAGATTGATGGGTTCGACAGCCAAATTGATGGTCTGGTAAGATATCGTTTGAAGTAGCAATAGAGATAATTATTTTGTAAATTAATTATTCGAATAATTTAGAAGGAACGGGTAATGGGACGATAAGATGATGGGAAGTTTAAATTTTTATGGGGCTTTTTGATCATTTTAATGTAAGAAAGTTTCCTTTGTATGGGAAATTGTGTTCTCAAAATAAAGAACCTCAGCTGTTATCAAATCACGACCAGGTGATTTTTTTTTTTTGTAAGCTGTCGTATTTCTTTTTCTAATTGTTTTTGAGTTATTGGTTTAGCTGGCAGATCTAGAGGTATAGGTGTCATAAGTGAATCTGATATAATTTATTGTGTTCAGTATCGATTAAGTTATAAGGTTTGAATATCTTGGAGTAGTTTTTACAAATTACTTTAATTATAAACTACTAAATAAACTAAGATAGTCAACTTTTTGACAGGAGACCATGTACGTGTACAATATAATCGAAATTTGCCTAACGGCTGTGTGTTTTAAGAATGTTAAATTGCCAAACCATATGATTAGTTTAATAACACAAACATTTATTTCGAAAGCTAAAATTAAGAAATTTCACACTGAATGGAAATACAACTTGAAAGGAGGTTTCCTTTTGCGTATATTTGTTTAACCACTCTTGTCCACTTTGTCGGGTTGTCTAACTTCATTATCGGTTTGTGTTTCAAGTTTTACTTCGACGTTACGAAATCGGATGGCGATATTTATGACAAATTCGGTTACGGGCTTAAACACCCGTCGGTTTTGAACGCTATTTTCCAGATGGCTTATAACAGTATCGCTTTGGCGGTCGACGTACAGATTTTGGTGACCAATGTAAATGACGCTCCTTACGTATGGCTATTGTGGAGGAGCTACTTCCGAAGCTGCTTCGCCTTCCCCATCGGCATGATTAACTGCTTCAGCTACTGGATGTTTTACCTGATCAGCCCTGAAAACATATTCAAAAGTGGAAAGTCTGATCATCCTTTATGGCTGTCACACGTCCTCACGACCGACAACGTAATCTTCCTCATGCTGGACTTGCTCGTATGTCGAGGCGAGTCGCCCAAACATATCTTGGTACCGTTTTTGATCTTTTCATTGGTAACGGTGAACTACATCATCTGGCTGCACGTAATTTACTTACATACGCACAGGTGGGCCGTGCCATTCCTCGGCGAAGGGAACTTCGCCTTGAAAATGATTAAAGGGACCATCGTTACCTTCTTATCGTTATTTTTCTTTCTGTTGGGCGAATTCATCAACGACCTCCTATGGAACGAAAAAGGTCCTAAGCGTTCGACTTGTCTATCCCGATATTTTTCAGATCGACCGACAGTGAGTGCAATAATAGTGGAAGAACCTCCTAGTACTCCCATCCTGAATAGACTTACCTCAGTTGATCAAAAACCGCAAGAGAAAGGTTGGTGGTTTGTTTCCTTAGCAAAAAGAATTATGTATGACAGTAATCCATTTACTAGCTAGTAGTTTCAACATAAACAGAAAATTTTAAATTTAACAATGTCTTATCTACTTTTTTATACACATGTTTTTTCTAACATGTGCTAAGGTTCGAATTACATAACTATTATCGAAATACGCATATAGTCAGAAGTATAAATTGTCTTAATTAATTTAACCAATCCAAGTTCCACCACTTCTAAGCAGCATAAATACATGAAAACTATCAAAACGTTTAAAAAAGTCATTACTCCGGAAGGTACTGTATATAGTACATATAATGCACAGGTCGTACACGGACTGTGGGGTCCAGTTGCTTGTTGCTGGCGCAAGGAGCTTTTTTAAAATTATTATACTTATTATTATTTAAATCTGCAATTTTAGTTACAAGTAAATTCGGTAATGAACGGGGCATAATGCGATAAAAAATAAAACGAAAAAGCTGTGGTGGCACAATCTCACACTGTTAGCCTGTTTAGCCGACATTGAGGATTCCGAAGAAGTTAGTGAAGGAAATGTTCTCACAAGGTTGTAGAGGAATGCAATAATGAGGTCCGGATGCTTTTATTGGAGGCGTAGAAGGAAGCATTAAGGATTTTTCTTAGGATTTTGGATTGGATTGACTGGATATGGGATGAATGGGACTGTTTGGTTCAACCCAAACTTCCAACAGATCCATATCGGATGAATGAGCGTTTTGTAAAGGGTAAGTTTATTGTTTATTTTTATGTGGGTCGTTGGTCGAGAAAGGATAGCAAGAATGGTAACGGCGGTTCATATCTTGAAGTTTTGGGGCGAATGGTGGGCTCCAGTCTTTTTCAAAAACAGTCTCTGGTAACGTATTGTGTCAGAAATCGCAATCAGTATTCATTCAATCGTAATGGAAAACACAGTGAATTTCCTGTGCTTGAATGGATTTTTTTTTTGTTAGATTTGATTCTCCATTTGCCGAGTCTCCACCAATCACTTTACCAGAGACTTCACCAAAGGGTGAAGTGATTCTGCAGATAGTAACTTACAACGAATGAGTTGGAGTTAAAAGAGTGTATAGCCGTGTCCTCGTCAAACGCGGAGTTGACTGTATTTGGGGAAGAAGGAATGTCGCCATGTACATGGTAAAAATTGTAGGGTCGAAGATACTTCCTTGGCGGACCAAGATTTTACTGCAATATATGACCCAAGGGATGTTCGTTGTCAGACAGCGTCTGTGAGGTAGGATCGTGGGAAAAGGTAAAAATATTAGGAATAATATTTTTCAGCTTCCAAAATAAAACCGGACACCATACTCGGTTGAGAGCCTGTAGGAAGAGTTCCGAGCAATACTGTTTTCCCTCAAGAGAAACAGCAATAGTGTCCACTACACGTTGTCCTAGTTGCAAAATTGGTGGGATGGTATGATTTTTGAATTCTCAAGAATAGGGATTAGGATAGGGAGGAGGTGGTTTTCAAGGATTTTCGCTAGAAAAGAAAAGGGACCGATATGAACTAGGAAGTTAAGCTAGTTTGTTAATTTTCTGTATCTTTCTTTTACAGCGTATTTCCACTGATTTGCATGTAGGTTGTCCGAAGAACTAAGTTGTATGTCAATAAAGTTGTCCTTTTATAAGTAAGTTATGCAACACTTTACGGGTACTTAGGTCGTGTCCTGGAACTTTGTACGCGGGTAGATTAATTTTTGTTTTTCATCGAAGCCATTTGCAAAGGGTGAAGCAGCATCATATTATTTATAATGAAAAAGCATTTAAAGACAAAGCCTTAGCAGAAAGGTTCAACCCTTTTGAAAGGTCACAGAAGCTAAATTTAAGCGTAATTATGAAGTGTAAAGATGTTTCGGTAAGTACTCAGATAACAAGCAAAAATAAGAAACATCATTATGATATTATGTTCCTTCAGAACTGAAAGAAAACGTGAATTTTTATGGCGGGAATCGCGAATTTATCTTTCCTTCTTATGTTTCGTGGAGTACTTTATACCGAAGATGTACAATAACGCGCCGATATTTTACAAATAATGCGCAATAAGCGGCCCCAAATTCGAACCCTGAATACTTACAAATGTTTTTATGACAACGTAATTGCGATGAACAACTGCAAATCCGCGTAAAATACCCCACATTGCGACCACAAGGAACTATTCAGTTTATCCATGTAGAACAAGCCAAAGGTTGTCAGTCCATACTTATAGATGTACGCAGGATGGGAAGTTCACAGTGCATCCATTTAATGAATATTGTGCATATATGTTTAATTAGTTTCTATTTGTTAAATAAGAATAAATTATTAGCATGAAAATAATAAGTTTATCTCTGTTTTTGTTTTTAAGTAAATAATATATAATAAATAGATATATAGATAAAAATACTCATATAAATATTGTTTTCAATCCGTGTTTTTATTAACCCTTCCGTTTCTATTTAGAGCTTACTTGCGTTGGAGAATGAAATGTTCCACTGTCTGGATGGCATTTTCTGTACAGTTCAAGTACGGGTTGTTAATATGTTAATTTTTTCAAGATGCGCTCTCAAGCAGTTGTGTCGGAAGGGAAGTCTGGATTAATAAATCAAAATCAGAGATATAAAATGAAACGTTTGAGAAGTTTTTATTGATTTCATTTTTATTTTCTCACGTATAACGCCATCGTTTGTAGATGGAGGGAGTAATGAAAACAACTACAGCCATGCTACATTTAGCCCTCACACAATATTCCTAGCAGTATTTCTAATCCTGTGTACTCTACCTTGGGTCTTATCTTGACTCACGTATAACCTGGAACGACACACACACACACACACAAATAAAACGGCAGGAATTAAACAGATACTTTGGACTACTTTATAAACTACTCACACGCAAAACTAATTTGTCGACAAAAAACAAAGTGCCACTCTACAAAACACTACTCTAACCGATTTGGATATATGACTAGAATTATAAGGCCTCTTCAAACCTACCAAAATCTAATGAATTCAGTCCTTCCAATCAAAATCCTAAAAATCACAGTCAACGCTCCCTACTATATCTCCAATACCAACCTCCACGACACGAAAATACCCTTTGTACATAAATTAATTCCCACCTTGTATTCTAAGCCACGACAAACTCTCCATTTACTCCAACTCACTAGTCCAATCCATATCCAACATAATCCATCATTATGATCCACTCAGACGACTAAAGCGGTGATGGCCGCTGGACCTCCTCTCCAAGCACTAACCCATGTGTAAAATTGGGAAAACAACAATGTTTTCTAACTCCCCTCATGACAGTGTATTGACAAAAACAATGCCATAGTATACAGGATGACGGGCGGTAAGGGTCGAAAATTTCACGAGGCCTTTCTGCTGTAGAAAAATTTGGTCTGTGCCACCTGAAAAAACGTTACATTTGCTGTAAGAAAACTGATTTACTGTGCAGACTTGATGAAAAAATTCTGCACGAAAATTCAGCAAAAAACAAAAATGTGTGGTGTTTAGTGACCGTTAGTTAATGATTATTTGGAAATCGTGAGATGCGGTCTGGTGTGACGTAGGTTTTAGAAAAACATTTGCTTTATCGTGCCAACGTTTCGATCTTTACTGAGATCGTCTTCAGGGCCTGGGATTTCTAAACATTGTTTAAATTATAAAAATACATGTAGGATGTGAAAAAAGTAAATTTATACAATGATAGAAATTTTAGACTCAATCAAAGTATTAGTTTGACTAATTTCGTGGTCCGCTTGACGGCCAATGGCACGAGCGGGATTCGAACCCACGACCTTCGGCTAGATAAGTCGCTGCTCTACCACTTGAGCTATCGTGACCTCGATCCACTCGGACACCAACTTCCCATCTCAACCCCACCTTTCGAATTTTCCCTCCTTTTTGCCATTTGACATTTGAAAAATGAAAAGCTAGTGCCATTGATTTTTTAATCTCAACTAAAAACCTTAATTAATTGCAAAGTATTAGTTCTCGCTAAATGAGTTTGTAATAACGTAATAAAGTGGTTAAAATAACGACGAATTTGGCTGAAAAGCATCTGTTATTTTTCAATGGAAAACCAGTGATAGGTGAGAAAAGCATTGCTTCGGGTGAATCTAGCGCAAAAACTTCAATTTTTTTAATGACATAAAAGTTCCTAATTATGCGCGTAAAAATCTTAAACTGGCTTTTTGCCAAAAACAACTGTTTGTGTGATACTTTACTAGAAGCGTCATTCATTTTTGAATCTTTTTGAATAGCTAATCTCTGCAGAGGAAAGTTGCTCGATGTGTCCCACATATTAGAGGCGTGTCATGCCTTTGCGCCATACAGAGAGCGTGTAGGCATGCCGCCGGACTTAAAAAAAATTCTCGAGCACTGCAGCGAGTTTCAGGGTCCCCTGTTCCGCTTTTTAGGGGAAATTGGTTTTTTTTTATTGTTTGTAGTATGTCTTATGTGTTGTGTGTCTATATGGTTTGTCTGAGTGTATGTATTTATTAGCGTGAATGGCGAGGAGTGAGGGTGAAATATATCGTCATCATCACCCCTCGAACGATGAGAGCGTAAGAGTGTGTGTTCGGGGTCGATGGGGGAATATTTATAAAAGTACTTCATCGACCCCAATCTAGATTAGTTTGAATGTAGGGTCGGTGGAGAAATATCAAGTACTCCACCGACCAAACAGAATGAGTGTACTGTATGAATGTATTTATTTGTATGTAGTGTTTCAAAGGATAAATAGAATTTATAAAAAAGCTAATCTTATTAGATACAGTCTTACTATTGTTTTATTATTCTACGCAAAAGTACAAATCAATTGATATAAAATCACTCCGAAATACCAAACGTTAAAAGTTAAAAAATCATATTTTAAAAAGTTATTTAACTTCTTCGCTCCAAGGGATTATTGGAAAGAAGCCGCTCAGTCACGAGTTTAATATTTATCGACCTCCGATCACTAAAAAAAAATTTCATTATAATTGATGATTCCACAACCGCCTTACCTTTACTTAGTAAGTATCTACTATCTATGCAAGGACATTTGGGGATCGTGCTGAGTCATAAGTGGTACTTGTCTACTATCTATTTCTACCAGATGGTCTAGTTCTCATTTTAGAAATGGTCAAAGGTGGTTAGGTTGATTTATCCAATTGCATACGTGGATGACCTCGCTGTAGTAATAGAAGCGAATACACGTAGCGACTTGGAGTCCAAAGGAAATGCGGCAATACTAATAGTTCAGCAATGGTGTGATGAAACCAAATTAATGTTGGCAGTAGATAAGTCAGCATTAATACTACTGACTGGCAAACTCAAGTTACGTTCATGGCCCAAACTTGAAGTTGGGGATAAAACAGTCAAGTACTGCCAAGAAGCTAAGTACCTAGCACTTAAGATACAAGCAGGCTTGAGTTTTAAAAAACATATAGAGGCAGCGAAAGATAAAGTATCTACAACCATTTGTCGTATGAATGCACTAACAGGACCATCATGGGGCGTTCAATTTCGACAAAGAAAAACAATAGCCATGGCTGTTTATGCGTCAGTCATCTTGTATGCATGCCCAATCTGGGCAAGTGCTGTAGCATCAGCCCAACGAAGGACATTAGAAACTGCGCAGCGAAAGATACTTCTAAAAATCACTAGAGCATACCGTACTGCTCCTACGGAAGCTCTCTGTGTAATTGCAGGAGTAATCCCAATTACATTAGAAGTTGACAAACGGCGTAGAATTTATGAAGAAACGCAAGGAATGAAACCGGCTGAAAAGAAAGACACTATCAAAAGAATTCATCTGGACACAATTACGCGATGGCAGAGACGATGGGATGAAACCGACAAAGGCCGTCGTACCCATCAGATTATGCCTTCCATAAGTGACAGACTGAAACGTAAATATGTCGAGACAGACCATTATATGACCCAAATGTTCACGGGGCATGGTGATTTTGGGACATATTTGTGTAAATTCGGCATGCGGAACACGGCGGAGTGCACCCAGTGCTCTAATGGCTCTGAAGAGACACCAGACGACACTTTCTCGGAGTGCCCAGCTTATTCTCCTGCAAGAAGCAGATGGTTAAGAGAAACGTGCTCCGTCGAGTGTGATGTCCAAGCCATATCCAGTGCGTTAATGTCAAAGGAAGGATTTGCGGCCACCAAACGCTTTGTGCATAAAGTGATGACAATAAAAGGCTGGCCAACACCATCAAACAGTGACGAATAAGTGTAAGTGTGTAACTAAGTGTTAATCCAAGTAACAGTGAGTGACTAATCAGATTTAGTGGTATATTGTACATATTATATTAGCATTTTGTAGTTTATTGTATATATAGCATTAGTATGTAAGAGGGGTGCCCACTCTCTTTCTCTCCTGGGCGGGTTTCAGTGTACGGGGAGATTGGGCACACCTCATTAGCACGTAAGATATATGTAAGCTGCGACCCTCACGTCATATCCCGACCAGGCACCTCCCCGTGGTCCATCCTGGGCACGGCTGCAGCCGTGGCTAACGCCTGGTGACGTGAGGGTTGGGCCTTCAGGGGTATATGGTTGCACGACCATCCTGTGTAAGTCCGGAAACGGAAATAGGAACAGGCAGCCTTAGACCTTTGAAGGTTAGGTTGATTTATGGTTAGGTCAGAACATATCTTTTTATGAATCCTCGCTTCAGCAAAACTTTTATTTTGTTTGCCGATAGATTATCTCTTCCCTACGCATCTTCTGTGCTGAAGCCATGTAATTATATCATTTATTTTGCGCTAACACTGAAATAAAATAATAATAAAGAAATTCGAAAAAAAAAAAGATTGGACAGAGTAGTTGTTATTTGTTTAAAGATGTAAGAATGCAAAGTGTTCAAAAACCGGTTTGATAACATTTTTTTTTCTTTTTATTGTATATTACAACTACCTGCATTTTGGTATCTAGTAATAATGTATGAATAAATATTAAGAAAAACAAGAGTGGAGAAACTACCCACCGGTAGTACTCCTAATTGATAACATTAATGATTTTTTAAAAAATACGTAGTAAGTTCATATATTTCGAAGTAATGTAGTTTCATACACATGTGGCGAAAACTGCCTCATATCGGACATTTCATAATTTTTCAGAAATCAGGCTTTTCAAAATAAACCGCGTGCTTGATGAAAAAGATTTGACGTTAGAAGAGTTTAAAACAATATTTATTTGCCCGATATTAAAATGTTCCAGATTACCTCTTCTTTCACTTTTTAATTAAGGATCAACCCGACGAGGATAAGTCGATGAATTGGACTCAGGTTTGTGCGAAACAGTACCAATTTAATGAGTGAGCTGAAGCTGTTGGGGGTTCTTATATTTCCCATTATCCTGATCAACGAAAAACCACGGTTTTGATGATATACCGATGGGTATTTTAGGTTTATACCTCTGTTCCTTCAAAATGATGGCTGCGTATTAATTAACAATTTCTTTATTCATGAAATTTCGAGTTCGATATCAGTCTTTCAGTTTCTAATCAAGACCAACGTCGTTAATGTTATCCAATGAATTTATTTATTATAACATGAATCCGGAAGGTTGCTAACAACAGTGTTCACAGAAATGGAAAAACTATGGAAATAA